TTTGTATTTATGAAATAGAAGTTACAAAAATAAGGCAATCCTATTACCCCATACAACATAGGAAATCAGAAACCTATGCTGGACATCTTGCAAGAAAACCCCAGACGACAACGACATATAAATGATCTTATCAAGTTGAGGTAGTTTCAGTTGAATTACCCCACACGATCAGAAGGTGATGCAAACTGTGGAATACGAGGAAAAGGACCCCCAGGAAGTCAGACCTGAAGGTATCCGTGTGCATGGAGATGACTCTCTCTTATTCTCGAACAAGCTCCATTTTAATGACCTGATTTAATGACGGCACAATATATGAGGACGAGAACCACATTTAGAAATAGATGCACAGGACAAAAAAATTAAGTGTCAATGTAAATGTCAGATAGGCTATATTTATAGAATGTGTATTTATTACATGGCATTACAAATATAGATTCCATAGATAATATGCAGTCACAAGCAGAGCAGATAAATTGAAAAAATGTAATCATTTTTCCGACAACGGAAACAACATTACTATATTCCAATCAAGAATCATCTACCTACGTCAATAGTGAAGAGCATCTTTTCCGATAGATATTTAAGAAAGACTGGCAGCATTTCCAATTATGATTTAAAATAATTTGTTATTCTAAAGGGTCATATACGGAGAGGAAGAATATCAAAGTGTTCTCACATTATTAGAAACACAGATTGAATGTTTACCTAATCAAAGGTTGTTGATTTAAAATGGTTGTTTGCGACAAGCACTCGTAGTTTTTTTTTTTTTTTTTCATCTGCAGCATGCTGATGCAAAACTACAACAAATCAAACATGCTTGAGAATTCATTAACAAATAAGTAAAAGAACTGCTAATCATATGGAGAAATAAGAGTAGATAGATCACCTGATCTACTTTAAGAAGGTCTAGATCTAACTTGCGAATGATGAATCCAAGATCAAATTGTCCCACCATTTGAATAACAAACATTCTTTCTCAAGAGAAGCTTAAACATTTAACAAATATGCCATAATAGAAGTAAAATCATTTGGATCATTGAACGTTTTGAAATGTAAATCATGATATTTCTTATTAAAGAACACAAGTTGGTGAATGATATTCACTTTCAGATGAATGATGGTTGCGAGTGGAGAAAATATGGACAGAAAACAGCCAAAGGAAATCTATGTTCAAGGGCTTATTATGGGTGCACAGTTTCCCCATCATGCTCTGTTAGAAAACACGTAAACTTTGTCTAACATTTACATATGAATCCTTATACTTTTCAAATATTGTCAGCCTTAGATAAAACAGTTTCTGATTTCATTTCATTTCTCATAGATGCATAAAGTTTAGACCTTATCATGAAGAGGAAGTTCACTTAAACTTCAGTTAGCAATCTTGGGTTAATTTTCCCTTAACTAAAAATAGCAATCAAACTTACATTTGTTCATAAAAAAGTTCCGATAAATATTACTTCAGGTGCAACGGTGCATGGCTGACATGTCGATCTTGATAACCACTTATAAAATTTAGACCTTTAGGCTTCATCATGAAGAGCTAAACTCAAAATCAGTTAGCAATCTTGGGTTAATTTTCCTTAACTAAAAGGAGCAATCAAACTTACATTTGTTCACAAAAAAGTTTCTGACTTACCGAAAAAATTTATTCAGGTGCAAGGGTGCATGGACGACATGTTGATCTTGAGCACCACTTACGAAGGCACGTACGACCACCCGATTCCAATCTCCAGCACCGCCATGGCCTCCACCACCTCTGTCGCCGCCTCCATGCTCCTCTCCGGCCCCACCGCCTCTCATCCCCTAAATCTTACGGCACGCCACCCGTGCCTCCGTATTCCTCCGTGACCCTTGATCTCACCACCGAGCCTGCCGCCACACGTGGTGGTTTCAGCCTCCATTCTCCACCCTCTCAGCAAATCCCTGGTTTCCGGCGACTGGCCTGAGCTTTTCTCCGCCTAACATGGGTTCCTCAGTTTGGGGCGTGAGTGGCGGGTTTTCTTTTGATCTTCTTGGAAAATCTGCACACGAGCAGAAGTACGTTTCTTACTTGGAAAAATTGTGCCAGGCTTCATCACAGCAGGCTCTGACAGAAACGTTAACGAGGGAAATTTCGTCCGACTGGAGTTTCCAGTCAGTTTTAGCAGCCGTGGTCCCAAAAATGGCTGCAAATAGAGGTGAGGGGGAAAGTGATCAAATGGTATGATCGAAAGCAAAAAACCGAAAATCTTGGTCGAGGCCAAAAAAATATTTTTTGTGTTAGAATTTCATTTTGAATTGAGATGAATGAAGAACAAGTGTTGATAACAAACACCAAATATATTCAATTCCAGGGCAAACGAATATTGGAATGTATATTTGGAGTGAGCCTATCAGCATCTAAATGAAATTACTGCGCGATATTTTTTTTATTTTTTTTTCAACACGCTTCGATATTGCTCAAATAACTTCACCATTATGTGAAATAAATTATTTCTGAAAAAAGAACGCAAGAATCTTACAATCCCTTTCTATGTTGATAACAACTTTTAGGCTCACAAGATATAATTTTTTTCATCAGCCCTTTAACTATTTCATGGAATGCCTCTTGTGGTATGTCCACAGAGCTAACACATTTCATGTTCTTTTTTCCCTACTTTTATATTTCCAACCATTTTCTCTTCCGAGCAACATCACCTCCTTAAATGTTTTGGCAAAAATGTTCCTTCTCATGCCAAAACCTAAGAAAAAAATGTAAATTTTGAGGTGAGCCAACGACGACCACCCAAGGCCTTCACCTACGGTATGAAGAGCGGCTGGAGGATTCTAATCGACCATCATACTTGGTGAACAGCGTGAAGACTTATCTCTCGCAATGATCTTTGACCCGATGGCAGCTTGAATGAATTGTCTTTAACACTTGCCAGTTTGATAAGGTAACAAAGTCTTCACGAATATATTTTAATTGACGAAGGAAGATAATTGTACGAATTAGTGTACCTGTCTTTGAACTTTTTGAGCTTATCCATACCTTCACGACCGACACGTTGTGCCTTCAATCTGTAAACTATAGTCACCATAGCATCCACAGCTTGACCCTTTAATAAGATACCGAGTATGACCAAATCAGAGGCCTGATAAATGTTATTAAGAATACCATTGTATGAATCACAGTCAATGATAGCTATTCTCTATTGACATGTATTTCTACCTTTAGAGAGGGAAAGAAAAAAAGAGGAGAAACCTTACTCTGATTCTTCATTGTCAAAGGATGCATTCCTGATGTAATAATCTTCAACTCATTGTAAAAGTCTAACAATTTCTCTTAACAGAGTAACGGATACTTCATATTGCTCTTTGACTGCACATTACCTCTACACCTCCATCATAGTAAATAGGTATTTTGGCCCTCTTGAATCCGGATTCATCTTCGTTTAGCCCTGATCTTATAATCTAATAGCACATGAGAAACTGATTAATTAAATAAAAAAATCAAGAATATCATAAAACAAATGGCAGGCAAACAAATCGCTGACACTTCTGCAGTATCACATATTAGTAGTTTCTGGGAAATTTGCATGTACTCAATTTTCTTGAGGTGTGAATTGCGATGCTCCAGGTTAAAAAATTCAGAGCCTTCTGTGTCAGCCAGTCCGCATACATAGCCAGCCGCAAAGTAGACGTCGCTGCTCTCTATTGTCCGGCTGTGGGAAAGTGAACTTCACTGTCCGACAATAGGTACCTCGTACGTGACGACAGCAAAGGCGAAGAGCTCATCGAGCTTCGTAGCACCGCCGCAAGAACAAGAGCTATAGGCGTAGAGCTGGATTTAAAAACTTATTGAAGAATATGAAAAGAGGTGATAAAATTAAGGCAATAATGATTATTTATTTTTCATCTTTATTTTGGATCAACAAGAATCAACCTATCTTAATTCAAACGTGCATGCAGCTCAACTCCGATTTCATCGTCTGGACTCAACCGGCCAACCATATGAACAATTAATGATCTATCATAACAACAAAAGAGCTTAGTAGATAAATCAAAGCTTTCATGTTCCTATCGAGCACCAAAATAAACAGCCCATTCCTTCAAGTTTCACACATTGGCAGAAAACTAGAAAATCCTGGACAATATAAGCTGCTGCAGCAATAAGAGCACCTAAAAGGAAAGTTAGAGGTTGCAGGCTTGCAGCACTGTGCACCCATCAGATACAATATCTGCTATTTTAAACTGACTTCACTTAGAAAAACAACATCAGAAATTGAATTCTAGAAAATCAAACCCAAAATCATTACTCTTTGAAAAATTGGGTAAGGTAAGAATTTACTCTCATTCACTGGAATAATAATCTGTCAGAGAACTGAAAGAAGACACTTCTGCAGTGCATGAATTAATTACTACAAAAATTTCGACCCTTTTCGAGTATTTTACTTATATAAGAACTCCAAGAATAACCTACTGGATTGAAGACATCGAAATAGCTGAAGAATCGGAACGTGAGATGCCAGCTAACCTTTTAAAACACTACATTTTATTCATAAGAAAGTAAAGAAAATCATCAAAGAACTAAACTCAGAGCTCTAAACAAGTCAAAGGAAAACAAATTTCTAAAACCCTGTGTTTGACGGACCCATTATGCCACCGGAGACTTAACCCATCCCAAAACATCCACACAGATTCTTCATGAACATAAAATAATCTATGTGAAAAAAACAATGCAAATCTGGGAAGAGTAACTAATACCATAGATTTACAGTAACGAGCTACGAAGCTAGTTTTACCTCCTGCATCTGGCATCACAATTGATAATTTCATGGGACATATAGGTTAGGTATTAATGCAGTGGGTAACCTTAATCAAATACAATACCAATCAGCTACAGAGTCAGAGACTTGCCAGATGAAGCACCATCAAGTTGTAAGAAAATCTAATCATCATTCATCAGATATACCCTTAACATCAAATCCAAGATCCGCCATTGAATTTACAGTCAACTCGAAGAAACAAGCCAGGAGTAATTACGTCTCAAAAATCCCGGTCAAATTTTCTCCTTCAGCTACAAAGTTATCATGAACTACACGATCAATGTTTCTCATTTGCTTAGTCAGCCCGCCCAGCAAGGAGTATAACTCATCCGCTTGACTGTTTGAACTATCCTCGACCATAAATGGCTCGAACCCATCTCCAGTATCAACCGAGGCACAACCGGGATCTTTCCTCACGCCCAAATCCCGCATAAAGCTTCTCACTTTTGCCAATTTACCCCAGCAACCGGCAGCAGCATACATGTTTGCAATCAACACATAATAACCCGAATTCTGGGGCCTCATTTCTAGAAGCTTCTCGGCAGCCCATTCCCCAATATTAGTGTCCCCATGGATTCTACATGCCCCGATGAGCGTGGCCCACATTTCAGGTGTTGGCTCGTAAGGCATCCCTAGGATAATATCTTTTGCCTTCCTCAGCAAGCTGGCCCTCCCATATAGATCAGCCATGCAAGAATAATGCTCCAGATCGGGATTTATGCTGAAAACAGTCACCATTTTTTCGAAGAACAATTGGCCTTGAGCCACAAGGCCTGAATGGCTACAACCTGACAAAATAGCAACCATTGCCACTCGATCGGGCTTTATTCCGGATCTTATCATTTGTTCAAATAACTTAACAGCAACTTTACCATTGCCTTGCATGCCGTACCCAGCTATTATCGACGTGTAAGAAACTGCATCTTTGTTCTCGAGCAAATCGAACAATTTTCGGGCCGTTAAAACTTTACCCGATCTTGCATACATATCTATAAGAGAATTCCAAAGCAACAGGTGACTCTGAAATTCTTCACGCCTGCAAATGTAGCAGTGGAACTCTTTCCCATGTCTCAGATTCGCCACCCTGGCACAAAGGGGTAGAATCCCTGCAAGAGTCACGAAATTCGGTTTAATGCCAGCAAGCAACAGTTCTTTAAAGAGATACATGGCTTCTTCGGGCCGTTCCCACTGTGCAAAGCCGGAGATGATCGAATTCCAGGTAACTATGCTTTTAGTTTCGGACAATCTGAACATAATATGCGCATACGAAAGGTAGCCACACCTGGAATACATGGTAATCAGTGCGTTTTTCACATTATCATAGTCAATGGAAGCATTTCGAACGGCCAATCCATGAAGTTCTCTTCCTAGCCGCAGAGCACGAATATGAGAGCACGCATTCAAGCCAATTATAACCGCCACAGGATCAAGATGCCCAACAGTTTCTCTAATCTGACAGATCAATTCGAGAGCCCCCTTGAAATTGCCCGTCTTCAAGCAACCTACAGCCACGGTGTTCCATGTTATGATGTTTATTTCCATACGTGCTGCTCTCATCCTTTCGAAAAGCTTGAAAGCCTCGTCCCACGAAGCTCTAGAGGCATATCCTGAGATTATTGAGTTCCACGACACTTGGTCCCTAGTCGGCATTTTTTCGAAAATACTTCGGGAGGTTTCGAGATCCCCACACTTTGCATACATGGATACCAATGAATTCTGCACAAACAAGTCCCACCTGAGAGAGCTAGCATCAATAGATTTGTGAACTTCTCTTCCGAAATCAAGAGTAGATTGCTCGGCACACGCTTTGAGAACGGACGGGTAGGTGAAATGATCGGGCCTTACTCCCTTGTGAACCATTTGTTTATAGGCAAATATAGCTTCCTCAAAATGTCCTCTATTGACATATGATGAAATAAGGACATTCCAAGGTAAAGGATGCAAAATGTTCGAGCCCGCAGCTATGAAATGAGCATCATCAAGAAAACCGAAAGCCGTATAGTAGGAAACTAGTTTTGGGACCAATGCACGGTTATTTTGAAGACCCCAGGTAATAACCTGGGCATGGAGCTGTTTACCTTGAGGAAGCAACTTGTGATTGGTACAAGATAACAGCAGGGATGACAATGAACCAGCAATAGACTCACAAGAGGAAGATGCTAATGCATGGCCTTGAATGAGCGAAAAAATCCTGAAGGCTTTGGACAAGTGACCTTGGCTAGCAAATTCTTTTAACGTCTCCAGAAGGCTGTTAACCATATAAATATCAGTTTGGTCGTTTAATCTTGAAATGATTTCATGGGAGACATAAGATTTCTGTTTGCTTTCCTTTTGGATATCCAACGCTTGTTTGTTGCTCTGTCTCCATTTCATGGGAATGCATTTTTCAATTTGATTAATCGAAATGCCTCTCGTCGGCTTATGAAATGGAGGAGGCATACATAACTGATGACCGAAGAACACATAGTGACACGGCAAATAGTTGATACCATCGGCATGACTGGGCCAACATTTCGAACACGCCACATATGCCTTGATCGACAATTATATGAACCTGCTGAAGCACGTAGGCATATAATGAGAATAAAACTTAGGCATCAATATAACAAGAAGTGCTGACTATGCATTTAATTTAGAAGAAGATATATTTTTGCACTTTATATGCGTTATTCACTCACTTTAGATAAATGCATAAAAGATGATTGTTAAGATAAATATAAAGTTTCTATCTTGCGTCAAACTCACTCAAACATGATCTTTTCATCTAACTCACACATGTTAATCCTGTAGTGCACTGTACATGATTTCACCATAACTTGATTATCCAAGACTTAATTCAACAACATGTCAAACCTTGTTCATCATCGCAAAATGCGAATTAAAATGATCAAGGTGCAGAAGTAAACACTGAACTAACGAAGTTTCATCAAAAGAAATGCCTGGCCTAAAATTCAAATGAGTACATGCCTATGCTATGACCCAAAGCCGGAAAGAACTATTCAGACAGAATCTAAAATGAAATCCGAATTGTGAAAATTAAAAAAAGTACAACTGCCCACCAGAAATTGATGCTCGCCCAACTTGCAAGGAGAGGAGAAAGAAGTTAATCAGATGATAAAATCAGGGCAGCGTCCATGGACACTCAATTTTCTCCCATTTTTTTCTTGTTTGTTCAGCTTGATGATTTTCGGGCCCGGACAAAAACGCAATAAAATTAACCCGATATCTTGGTTAGTAAATCCCTTACGCAAAAAAAAAA